ACAACTTGAGGTACACTGAGTTTTGTTCATCGATCGAATCCATTTAATGAAACCATCTCATTTAATGAGTTACAGCCAATTCTAACTTCCGTATTTATGAACCATTCAATAATTACAAAAGCTCAATGAAAATGAAACAATTTACTTAATAGTAGCAGCATTTTAACCTGCAATTAATCAATTGGATTTGAACAAATTTGTGCTACATTAAATAATTAATATAAGCCAGCTAGGAAAAATGGGTGTCGGTTGGTTTTGACACGTAAAAGTTTGTGGTGTGCTAAATTTTTTTAATTACATTAATAGTTGAAAATATTAATAAGTTGCACAAAGTGAATATACAAAATCGAACTAATCTATATATATAATTGCTAGCATAAAAATTAATAAAACTTTTTTATTTTTTCTACCTTTTTCTATTACTTTTATATTAATCACAAATTTATAATTTTTTATTTATTTTATTATATAATTGCTAAAATTAACTAATAATGAAGAAACATTAATGTAATTCTATTTTAAAGCTTTTTTCCAACTCTATATTTACAATTACTATTTCTTTATTTTTCACCTCATTAATCAAGTTTTTTATTAAAATTAGTTAATTATTTTTTACAGCATAACCAAACCCTTTAAAGTTTTGTGCTTAATTGGTATAATAATAATTTCAATACTTTTTTATTCAATTAATTATCATAATCAACCAACATTGCATAAATTTAAAGATTAATATATAAGTTAAATGGTTTATATTTATATCGTCATTTTAGTCACGAAAAAATTGTAAATGTGATATGCTCATTATTTAATTTATAAATTTTAAATTTTACATAATACACAAACACACACACATATATATAAGAGAAAATTACAAATTTTGTCCCAAAACTTTTGTTGTTTCCTACATTTGGTCTCAGGCACGCCAATTATGGTCTTTTTTGAATTTTCGTTGCCAAAATGGTCCCACTCCATCAAGACTTAATGTTTGTCCCATTTTTGTTGCATTTTTTTGCTCGTTTCGCTTTTTCTTTCTCCCCATTTTAGGTCGTTTCTTTCGTTTTTAGTCTGTTTCGGGTTTTATTATGTGTTTTCCTTCATTTTGAGTCTTTAAGTGTTTTTCGTTTGTTTTTCCGGTTGTTTTTGTGTTTTGTCATTTTTGGTGTGTAGGTCGGGAGCTTCGGGCGAACTTTATCTTCAAGAAAAATTGGTTTCGAAAGTATAATTGGATAGAGGGGTTCGTTAGCGACGCGTAGGAAAAAATGAAACTCAATTCCAAGTTCGGACGAGCCTAAACGAGCCCGAAACATTAAGCCGCGCGCAGCAGCCCAATTTTCTTCATCGCGGGCAGCGGAGGAATCCCGCGGCCGCGGAGCCCTTCTGCAGCTAAAATCTCGCGGCCTCAGAGCTTCCCGCGGCTGCAGAGGTCGCGACCAGAATTTTAAAAGCTAGATTTTGTTAATTTGTTCAAGTACTTTTGCACTAGGACTCGTTCCCAGACCTAAAATAACACCCCAAACTCGTTTTTTTCCTGATTTTCATCTGAGAAAACACAATTGATCTTGGTTTTCATCTTGATTTCTTTATTGCCTCCGGATTAATCTCGTATCTCGGATTCAACATTCAATACCCTTTTAATCGTAAGTTTTTCTATTCATTTAATCTATGATTATGATTGTTGTGATTGTTGAGCTTGATTGTGTTGAATTGAATACGAATAATTAATTCGATTCGCTAGGGATAGGGGATGATGTTTTGAATGCGATTGTGATTATCGTGCTTGTTGATCCTTCAATTTATGCGAGTTGTTTTTAAAAGGGTTTTCGGTTATCATACTTGATTGTTGAATGTTGTTGATGAGTGACACCTCAACTTGCAATTGATTTTCAATTGGACATGATTCATTCGGGTTTGATGTTGTTAATTCTTAAAGATTAGTCGATTAACCACCTTCTAGTCCAATTTTATCGACTCTTAGAACCGAAAGGGGAGGAGTTGATCGATCTAGGCTCGTATAAAATAGGCTTGTTCCTAACTGTATTGTCTATGTGTTAAACGACTCGTGAATTTGCCGTTCACATTTATCCTCTTGTTACGAAAAGTTATTGAGGATGAATCTCTGAACGAGTAGGTTATTCGAATCCTTTAACCGAATGATCACTTGTCCGTTAATTGCATTTCGAATCGAAACAAATATCCCCGACTCCCTAGCTTCTTTATCATTGTTTGTTTTATGTTTTTGAGTTAATTTATGTTTTATGCATTTGCTGATATTTTCTAGTTGACCGCTCAAACCCCAATCGTGATTAGAGTGTTTAGGATTTATTTTGCTTTTGTGTTCGATCAACATCGAATCTAGATTCCGAACCGCCTTCCTTGAGAGATCGACCTGGAGAACGAATCTTTCGATTCGGTACTCGGTAAAAAAAAATAATGCTACAACACTTAACGGTCAACGTTTATAGCCTGGGACCAAATGTGGGAAACAACAAAAGTTTTGGGACCAAATTTGCAATTTTCTCAAAGAGTAAGTGATAAAAATTATTTAAATTTATTTTTATTAGAAACATTTTAATAAAAATTTTTTAGTAAATGTTAAAAAGGTATATTACCATTATTTCCTAACAATACATTTAGTTTATTTTTTAATAAATCATGAAAGATAAATATAACTAACATACAATTCTTTCACATTCTTTTAACTTAAATTAAAGTTTAACTTGATTTTTTTACATAAAATGATTATTTAATTGGGTAACTTAACAAAAGGTGTATAAAATAATTTTATTATAAATAAGTGAGAGGAAATGTCTATTTTCACTTAATTTAATGCCAAATTTTATTTATTATGCTTAAAATTGAAATTTTTTATGTAGATGTAATTTGCATAAATAAATAGATTTTTCAATTTATAGTTGTCAAAATCAAATTGATAATAAAAAGTTATTAAAATAAAAATAGACAATAATAAAAAAAAAATTGTTTAGATTGAATTTTTTTTTAATTCGTATTATTTAATAAAGTTTGTAAGGATATATATAAATTATCACATTATACTAATATTTAAAAGTGTAGACAGATTAGTATTATTGTAAGCATATTCACATTTTTTCTTATTTTGATAAATTGGATTATGTCTTTTGGTTTGCTTTATTTAATTAAAATAATATTATTTCTAAATATTTTTTAATTTAAATAATATTCAAATAATTGCTAATATTTTTTAAGTAATGACGGTAAAAATATTAGAAAATAAAATAAATACCACACAATTAGCAATTATATCGTTTACTTTTCAACTCAAAATTAAAATTTATCAACACCTTTACTTTTCCACCCGATATTTATTTTTATAATATTATTTTTAGTATTTATTTCTCGTATAATATTCATAGTAAATTAATTTTATTATGTCATTTCGGCTTTGAGTGAATGAGAGAGACTTGAATAACTTGAAGAACTCATTTTTATTTTTATTTTTAAAAATTACAAAATTGGTCCCAAAATTGCACAATTGGTCCAATCTAACGTCCTCACACGAGCCCTGTTAATATTGACGGACGTGGGACCATTTTGGCAACGAAAATTAAAAAAGGACCATAATTGACGTGTCTGAGACTAAATGTGGGAAACAGCAAAAGTTTTGGGACCAAATTTGTAATTTTCTCTATATATAACGTATAAAATTTTATTTGCATTTGTGTATATGCACAAGATCAAATACTTGTGTGTAATGGTAGTAGCAAAATTAATTATTGAAAGTTTGAAACTACAGTTGAACAAAAAATAAATAAAAAATTACTACATTGCATGGAACGGAATTGCTCAAGCCTGGCTCATTTGACGAACTAGGTTGACAGAGACTGTTAAGACTCAAAACTAAAAGTTTTTATGTAATTTTTTAAAATTTTACCTTACCTGAAATTGTTTATTACTCCCTCCTATTTTTAATAAATGTCATTTTGAGAAGTTGCACAGTAATTAAAAATATTTTTTTTGTTAATAATAACCCTCATTAATGAGAATAGAGATGGATGTTTTGAGAAAAGATGGAGAGTGAATATGAAAAGACGTAGTGTATTTATTAGTTAGATGAAGATAATAATGGAAAAATATATACAAAATAGTCAAAATGACATTTATTTAACAAATTATCTGTTAAGCTAGAATGACAAATAATAAAAATAGGAGGGAGTATTTTGTTTAGTCAGTAGGTTGAGCTCAACTTTTTATTTGGAAAAAATTTAAGTTCAAGTTCGATTATATGAAAAATAAATTCAACTCGATTTATTTAGTATTTACATTTCGTCATGTGGAAACACGCGCCGCAATCGCGCGTGGCCTATCTAAGAAGATGAGAAAACCCTAAATAAAAAATAAAAAATAAATTCAACTCGATTTATCTAAAAGGAAAGATAACTAGGCACTAGCCAAGGCCACATAATTAACTAAAAGAGGTGAAAAAGAAAGAAAAAAAAAAGCGAAAAATAAAAAATAAATTAAAAAAAGGAAGAAAAAAGAAAACAATAGAAAAGAGAGAGAAGAGGGAGGAGAGAGAAAGACTGAAAGAGAGAGAGGGGATGAATGGAGAGGGGATCACTTTACTACTTTTTTTATGTTGCACGCATCCATGGCAGAAAACAGAAGGCAGAGTACTATTCATCCTTCAAGAACCAAAGGAGATAAATAAAATTATATATTGGAGAATATTTTTTCAAGACTTTATTTTTAACCTTCAAAAACTCATCTTGATCAGAGATCAATTGCAAATTCTCTCTTTCTCACACGCACACACACACTCAGACAAACAGAGCTTTTGTGAGTATATACATACCTGCATGTATATACTTGTATATATCCTTGAATTTGCCTGCATTTCATAAGTATTTGTGTTCTCCCACTTCATATTTGACATATATATCAGTCTTTTGCTTAGTTGGGCCCTTTGCTTTAATCAATTTCTTTTGATTAAAGTGGTGAAATTTGGGGGATTTTGGGGTTAGATGAAGGGGATGCCCTTACCCTTCGATTTTGAAGGGAAGGGGGTTTTAGACTTGGAGCAGCTGTTTGTTCAGAACAAGAATTGTTTTCCAAATTTTGCTCCTCAAATCTCATCTGAATTTATTTTTGAGAAAAATTGTTTCTTGAATCGTAATAGCTACTGCTTTGTCGAGCCCACATCTGTACTGGATTCTGCGAAAATTCCCAGCCGACCCTCATCCTCGTCAAACCTGTCTTCATCTCTCGGCGGCGGCGGCGGCGCTTCGACCGACACGGCCGGCGTGGCGGCGGTATCGGACGCTAACCCCTCTCCTAAATGGCAGCAGCACGACTCCACAACTGCCACCAGCTCCAATGCCGGCGGTGGGGACAACGGAGCTGAACCCGACCTCCTCCCCGTCCCCCCGCCCCTCGAGATCAGCGCCGGCGGCGCCGCCGGGAACCCTGAGAAGTTCGCCATGGAGGACTGGGAGGGCGTGCTGTCGGAGACGGTGGCCGTCTCCCCCGGCCAAGAGCAGTCCTTTTTCCGGTGGATCATGGGCGACGTCGAGGACCCGTCCATGGGAAGCCTGAACCGTGTCCTCCACATCGGCGGCGACGGCGGATCCTCCGCGCCGGAGCTCGATTTCAGCGGCGGCTTTTCGTCGAACGTAGATCAGGGTTTCAGCTCCGGTGAATTCTTCATGTCCGCGGCCCCAAACAACAGCAGATCTGAAAAGAACAACATCGATCTGACCTCAAATCCGACCACTAATTTGAATCTGAAATTCTCTCAGAATGTAATGCAAAACCCATCTTCAGCCTTCAACCTCAGCCCCATCGCTTTCGATACATCCCAAGAAATAAAGCCGCCCCCCATTTTCAATCCCCAGCTATTGATCAGCCAGCACCAAACCCAGCATGCTCAAAACCCTTCCTTTTTCCTCCCTCTTTCATACTCCCAGCACCAGGAGCCGACCATCTTCGGGCCGCCCCAGCCCAAGAGGCACAACTCCGGCGGCCTCCTCGATGTAGGGTTCCAGCCCAGCGGCCCAATCTCGAAGGGCCCATTCACAGACACCATCCCGAACCCCCACCAGCTTCAGTTCCTTCCCCACTACCTGCAACATCATCAGCGCCCTATTGGGCCGGCCCTGGGCCCGAGGCCCAAGCCCGACGATAGCCGGCAGCTTCAGCAGGCAGTGGTGGACCAGATTCACAAGGCGGCAGAGCTGGTCCAAACCGGAGACCCTGTTCTCGTGCAGGGGATATTGGCGCGGCTCAATCACCAGCTCTCTCCTGAAGGAAAGCCCTTTATGCGGGCCGCATTCTACTGCAAGGAGGCCTTGCACTTGCTCCTCAACAACAACAACAATAATAATAATAATAATAATAATATTGCCACATCATCGCCTTTCGGCCTCGTCTTCAAGATCGGGGCCTACAAGTCGTTCGCCGAGATCTCTCCCTTGGTCCAGTTCGCCAATTTCACCTGCAACCAAGCGATTCTTGAAGCAGTCGAGGGTTTTGAACGGATTCATGTGGTGGATTTCGATATCGGGCTCGGAGGTCAGTGGGCCTCCCTCATGCAGGAGCTTGCGTTGCGGAATACGGGCCTGATCACACTGAAAATCACGGCCCTAGCCTCGGCTCCCCATGACCAGCTCGAGCTGGGCCTGACCCAGGAGAATCTGATCCAGTTCGCGGCCGAGCTCAATATTGGGTTCGAATTCGACGTGATTGGACTGGACTCGCTGAGCTCCGGTTCTTGGCCCAGCCCGTTTAACCCTTGGGAAGGTGAGGCGGTTGTGGTGAATCTCCCGATAGGCTGCCTCGCTGGCGGCTGCCAGCTCATTCTTCGTTTTGTGAAACACCTTTCCCCGAAGATTGTGGTCTCGGTAGATAGAGGGTGTGAAAGGACGGATTTACCCTTCGCCAACCATGTGATCCATGTCCTCCAATCGTGCTCGAATCTCCTCGAGTCTTTAGATGCGGTCAATGTGAACATGGATGCCCTGCACAAGATCGAACGCTTCTTGCTTCAGCCAGGGATTGAGAAAATCGTAAATGCTCGGTTTCGAGCCCCTGAGAAGACTCAGCATTGGAGAACACTTTTCCTTTCTTCCGGATTTTTGCCTGTCGTGTTCAGCAATTTTGCCGAGTCTCAAGCGGAGTGCGTGATCAAGAGGACTCCAGTTCGGGGGTTTCAGGTCGAGAAAAGGCAGTCCACCCTCGTGCTTAGCTGGCAGAGGAAGGAGCTTATATCGGCTTCGGCTTGGAGATGCTAATGTTAGTGGAAATTATTAATTTTACAAATCTCTTCATGAAAAAAGAAAAAGTTTTATTTTTTATGCATGAATGCCCCTGAGAAGTTTCTAGTTATTGCCTAATTTTTCTTGGTGGATCGGGCTAATTGTTTTTTTTATTAATTTTTTTTCCCTTTTCGGATATTCGAAAGAACCAGGCTCGTTTTTGCTACTGGATTTGTGTTCTAATATAATCTGATATTACTAGGGTATGACTACATCGAAACATATGGATGTTCCCTTTTTTGGTGCTGGTATCGATTTTGTGCTGAAAAGCAATCAGCTTTGGGTTGTAATTGTGTTTTTGTAACCATACATTGGACAATTTGGGAAAAAACAAGAAATTTAGGACAAAAAAGGAGCTAAAATAGTTTTAACTGGTTTAGCTGAATTCAGTCAATGATGATTTTAATTGCAGTTGTAAATATTTGAAATCCCTTTTTTCTGTGGTTCATATCGAGCCATTCTATTTTGACGATCTTCATTAATTTATATTTTCCTATACATGTCCAGAAATATTGCAAGATCACTAAATTTTGTTGCATTTGATTGAATTATGTTAATCTTCATTCTTCAAGTACTTGTGCTGCATATGGCTCTGCATGATTTTGATGATTATTTTGACCCAGGAGTTAGTTAATCTGTGTTTTCTCTATTCTGTTCGACAAACTAGGAGCAGATCATACTTTCCAGGCTCGATCAAGATTCTTATGAAGATTGAAGTCTGAAGATACTTTTTCACGGTTATCTCGTGGATTTTAACCCTCCATTGGAGATTCTACAAAGACATTCAACTGTTCGGAGCCCTGTTCGAATAACAAGGTTATCTTAACTTGTATCATTTCTTTAGGAAATGAATGGTGTGTAATTAATCAGTCAGTCCCATTTGGGTGAATTAATTTTAAATATTATGCTAATTTAAATGCTGTTCATGATGTTTGAAAGTCATGTTATTTGGAGCCTGTCANTCTGTTGAGTACAATGTTATCCTGTATTGTATGATTAATCTGTCCCTTTCAATGGGTTTGCTGATTATTATTGTTCTGTTTTTATAATAACAACTTGCTATATTTACTTAAAAAATAACTTGAACAAAAGCATGTAACCATTAGACTGCCTCATCATATAATTTATTGTTGTTTATGTTTTTCAGTGTTGGTCTATGAAAAAGTCTGTCGTGTTTTTGGTTTTCTTGGTTCATCACGTTACTTTGCATGCCAGTGGTTTATAGTATTATAATCCCATTGAAAATTGAAATTGCTGCTGTTTTGGGTGATTAAAAAATTTTAATGTCTGTCCTAATCGAGTCACATGGGACTTGTACTATTGGACCTTCACATGATTAGTACCAAGACCTGTCTTTTTTATTTTTATTTTATATTTTTATCTATCTCCTTGGGAAATTATTTTATTCATTACTTTAATCAGCAATATTATTTAAAACCTAATGATGTACTAAATTAAAATAGTGTTAAAGCCATCTGGTGGTGTTCTAGAGGGAGAGGGCCAAAATGGGAAAGTAGGACTTGGTATTTTATGTGTTATCTATTTGTTTGACCATAAAATATTATCACAAGTCTAAATTAAAACTTAAATTTTCTAGTTATTTACTTTTGTGTTGTACTTATTGTATCATTTGCGTTGTAGTTGTGCTTTCTAATTGCATCGTGTTAGTGTTCGTATTTCGTTCTCATGCATAATTTAGACTGAAATTGTGAAAATAGCTGTAACTAAAACCATTTTGTTTCTATTTGGTGTTATGTAATAATACTGGAGTAATAATTTTTGTAGCAGTAGTAGAAGAATGCAAAAGGGTCATTAATTAATTAAATTAAGACACAGAGTGCTAATGTAATTATAGCTGACAGTGACAGCCTATAATCCTCTTTAGCGTTAGTAGTAGTACCTTGTCTCTCTTTCCACTCAAAATTTTTCTGCAGACTAATTAATATGCTGCTACTTAATAGTATATTATTAGGACATTATACTTTTATGTAAAACAACTGTTAAAGTGTCAAAGAAAAGTAGAAAACACACTTAATAACGGCTCAATGGCGGGCTAATTTTATTTATTCGCCAATTTTTCGGGGGAAAAAAAAGGTTAAATCCTCGCAAATTGTATTTTATTGTCTTTTACCGATTTTGGAAGCATTTTGCTTCTTTAATTTATTTTTGGTATATAAGCACTTCGGTTTTTAATTAATAATCATAGAGATAGCTTAGTTTATTAATGCATGTCTTTCTCCTCTTGTTTGCTCAAAGGTCANTTATATTAAATTAGGTTATACAAATGCTGCTAGTAGATTGTCTAATCATTGGCTAGACTTTTCTACTAAAAAATGCATATTTATATTATGTCACAATTTTGTTTATAATGTATTTTAAAATATAATATTTAAATATTTTATATATATTTATTTATTTATTTTTTGAAAGAGTTACTATCTAACATTTGCACAACTTACGCTAATTAGATTAAGGGTTGAAGTTTAAAATGCAGAGCTGATTTGTATATTGGTAACTGATATCTATTTTAAATAGTTACTAGATAAATTAGTTAATTACAATAACTGAGTAAATGTGATTACTAAATCACACAAGCTAATAATTTACAGTAAAGAATGGTAGTTAAAAGTCAATATATAAAGAATTAACAAAAAAATTAAAAAGCTAAATCAACACCAATACTACATACATCAAAATATAAATATAAATAAAAGCACAATTATAAATTACATTTTATTATTTTGATGATACAATTATTTTGTATAAAAATTATCAGTTCCTCGAATCTGCTCAACAAAGCACCCGTTAATAATAGCCCACAAATAGTTAGTCAAAGTTTTAGAATATACTAATCACACCAGATATATTATTATTATTATTATTATTATTTTCGGATTAAATATTTCTATAAATTGAATCCCTTGATTGAAGCTCATGATAGTTGAAATAATGTTACCTAGCCTCAATAAGTATTCGTAAGTCTCTAAAAATTAAACAGTTAACCTTTTTTTTAATGTATTGAAGTTCAATTAGTTTGAAAATATAAACCGTATAGCTAGTTGACTCCCCACCTAACCTTTAAAATATTAATTAAAGAAATTTATTTAGCAATTCAGAATTCAGAAAAAAAAAAAAATGCTATGGGTAACGACCATCTATTTAATACTACCAAAACATGGATTTGCTAAGTCTATGAATGCTATTATAGTCTTGTTTTTCATTTTTTTTATTTAATCTACACAACTTATACATTGTACATTGAATTACAGTAAACAAAATGTAAAACCAACCAATATATTTATACGATTTTGCTATGAAGACAACAGTTGGCTCCATAGCAAAACCGTATATCTATATATATAGTTGTTGATGAAACTAAATTTTTTTATTTATTTACTTTCTATATATGTGTACATATAACTTCTTTAGGACCGTTAGTTATTTTCAGGTGGCAAGCAAGTAACTGAATTTAATTAAGCTCTAACCTTATAATGCATATTGTATATGTTTTATATATATGTAAGTTAATATTAGTTATATGATACCAATAAATTTATATAATTAATGTTTATTATGGAGAAACATGTCGTGACTTTGCACACTAGTTTGAACTTTGAGAACATCAATTCATTTTTTATACTTTAAAACTAACTTATGAGTCTTTTGACATGTTCTTGCTCTTTTTTTTTATTCCTTGTTCTTTAAGTTCCACTGCTTTTACTCTGGAAATATTACGGATTATTAAACGATGTTTGACTAACAATGGCACCGATTAATATTTAGGAAAACATTTTTTATTTCATGTGCATATATGTTTTGATCCAAATATCTTAATATATATGATAGTTAATAAGTTAAATGATGTTATACAATATTTAGTAAATATGCTGGAATGGAGGTAATACGGTAAAATCTTTTGGTCCAATATAACTTTTATTGCTTCGAGTACTCAAAAGTTATCAAGTTTTTTTATTAATTAATGAGCTATAATATATAGTATTCATCTTGTATTAGAAATATACATGCATATACAAGAAAATTAGAAAAAAAATAAAAAAAATTGATTAGGAATTATGTGTTCAACTAAAGAATGATTTATAATGTAAAAGAACTGAAAAAAATATATAGATGATTAATAATATCACGGCTTTACAAAAAACCCACAACTAGTACTCTTAATGTGTGCATGTGCGTGAGGTAATCAACAAACATTAAATAAAGTTTAAATAAAATAAATAAAATAAATAAAATAAAAGTGTTTATTTGTATTTTTGTAAATTTTTTTAAACTTTTATTTTTTTATTTATAAAATTGCAATCAATATATTTACATGTGATATTTATATTTTCTCGTTAGATATTTGTAAGAACTTAATTGAAAAAAAGCTGTCATTTTAATTAAAATGTTGATATAATATAGAAACGTTAATCATTTCTTCAACTCATTCTTTATATATAACTAATTTTTTCTCTCGATCAAATCCCAATTTATATTACATCTGACTTTTCATTTAAAATTAAATATAAAAATCATTTTCTATTATTTTATAATTTGGAATCAATATATGGTAATTATAATTTGTAAATTATATATAGGCTCCCATGTTTAACCATCACATATGATATGTGATATGTATCTCAACTGTTGCCACGTATACCGTTGACCCATATTTGGGCGACTATTCATATGTAAAATGTCCAATTCCTTTGACGGGGTCAAGCCCGTCTTTGCCCCTCAGCACAAATTAAAAATAAAAACTATTTTCTATAGCCAAACCATTAAAATTATTAAATAATCCAATTAATTTTTAAATTGCAAAAGGGAATTGAATTAATTGGTGTAATGTACTAATGATGCTCAATTGATAAATAGAACAACCTCTTAAAAAGAAGATGCAAAATAAAATGTGCTAATTCATGATACTGAACTTCTAACTCCAATATTACCTTAAGTTAAATGTAAGTGTATAATTTTAC